ATACTATTACCAGATTAAAGTCGTAATATTACGAGAATAAAGGCATACTATTACCAGATTAAAGTCGTAATATTACGAGATTAAAAAGGCATACTATTACAAGAATAATGTAATATCACAAGAAAAAAGTCGTAATATTACGAGGTTAAAGTCGTAATATTACGAGGTTAAAGTCGTAATATTACGAGGTTAAAGTCGGATAAAAATAAAGTCATAATATTGCAGCTGAAAACACAAGCAGTTACTGCATTAAAATGAGGAAAGTTGAGCAACATCAAGTTGTTCTTTAMTATTGCATAAAATAAATAATCTTTTAGCACATTAGCATCAAATTATCAGCAGCAGGACTTGGAAATTGTGCAAACGACTATAAACTGAATCTGTTGTAATTAATGGATGCATTTACAGATTTAGTCACGTAGTTAATTTGGATTAAAGCACATTAATCTAACAGTGACCCAAGTCATCACAGACAACTTTATAAACACACACACGTGGCTGTACAGCAGGTGTGGGCAAAATGAGGAACAGAAAATGGACACTTCATGTAAGATTATAAATATTTTCTCATAATGACTTTAATCTCATAAAATTATGACTTTAATCCCACAATAATAAAAAAAATCTTGTTGTGTGTCCCTAATACTCCATCGTACAAAACAGCTCATTGTTTAATTTTTTGTAGAATTAACTTGTTCTTCACGAGTTTGAGGGAAACATTAAACAGAGACAAACATCTTTGATGTAATTTGGGATGAACAAATATTCATCTTTATCTTCATTAATATTGTTTAATAAGAACTAAAGCAGCAGGTGCAGCCTCCTGTCACCTGTGTAAAACAAGCACAACGCTCTGAACAGGTAGACTTTAAGACCAGGACAGGTCGGGACTCGCTTCACGGTGTAAAAACTCAGATCTGTCCTCYGCTGCAGTGAACTGGTCACACAAACATGTGTAATCATTTATTACATAACTTCACCTTTACGGGGTGAAGTCCAAGAAACGAACATTACTACACCAGCGGTTCTGATTCTGCTCACAGACTGCAGGACCCGKCCTGCCCTGCTCTGATTGGCTAAAACTGTGGCTCTGGTTCTTTTTATTGGTTGAAAGCAGAGTCAGTTAATCCATCACAACAAACCCACTATGAGGAGTTGTGTTGCAGAGATGGAGAACTTTAATCACTTCTGCCCGACAAAATTTAGGATCTTTGATTAAAATTTAAGACCAACTGGCACATTTTTTAACAAATTTAAGATTTTTAAAGGTCTTAATTTTAGATTCGTGAATTTAAGAGTTTTTAAAGGGGATGAGACGTTCATGAATGAATCTTTTGAACGGCTCTTTACAACGAACAATAGGAGCTGAGTCGCAGGCAGTAAAGAGCCAGTTGTTGTATTTTTTTATTCCTCATATCTTTATTTTTTCATCCTTAAATGGCTCAGGGGGGAAAGAGCAGGGGGTTTCTGCTCAACTAAACACGTGGTTCCACCCACGTAACACAGGGCTCCTACAGTTTAAGACAAGTTAAATTTAAGACTTTTTAAAGACTTTTTCATYCCAAGTSAAATTAAATTTAAAACCAATTTCACAATAAACACAAATGACAAACAAATACTCAGAAACTCATAAGTATTTTTGGTTGAAGTATTGAAATATTGCTAATAGACAATTGTTTTTATCCACATCTAACAGCTATTTTGTCAAATATAGATAAAAAAACATCCTTTCAATCAGTTTTAAACTTAATTTAATTTCTGAAAATCCTCTAATGACCCAAACTTTGGAGTTTTAGGACCCACAGTGGGCTCTCAACCCGAGCTTGCTGTAGATGAAACCTTAAAAAGCCTGTTGTGTAAAATGTTTGTACGAAATATGAAAACATTTTTTGGAAATACATAAACATTTTACAAAATGTCCTGATGTATCTCAGTAATCCAGGTAAAAAATCAAAAAGAAAAAAATWGTATAGGTCTTCTGGACGGGTTCTTCTCTAATGAAACGTTTCGTCTCTCCTCCAAGAGACTTCTTCAGTCTGAGAGTTTCAGGCAAAATTCAGGCTTTTAAGCCCTGCCTCCATGTGACTGATACTCACATCACATGGCTATTGTTGACACCTAATTAACACCTATTGTTAACAGGGTGTGGAGTGATACTGGCAATAGCAGCGCTGTAGGAGGGGGACAGCTGAAAACGGAGGCCTCCACCTCTGTTTAATGATGGACAGTCTTTCTTCACAAAAATGGCTTCTTTTACTCCTCTCTCAAACCAACGTTCCTCTCTATCAAGAATGAGAACATCCTCATCTCTGAAAGAGTGACCGCTGGCCTGTAAATGAGTGAAAACTGCAGAGTTCTGGCCATTAGATGTAGCTCGTCTGTGTTGGGACATTCTTTTGAACAGTGGCTGCTTTGTTTCCCCGATGTATAACTGGTCGCAGTCCTCCTGGCACTTAACAGCATATACAATATTGCTCTGTTTGTGCCGGGGCACCGGATCTTTGGGGTGAACCAGCCTTTGCCGTAATGTGTTTTGGGGTTTGAAAGCCACTGGGACATCATGTTTAGAGAATAAACGTCTCAGTTTCTCCGAAACACCCGCAACATACGGAATAACCACTGGTTTGGGTCTGGGTTTGGGGTCTTCATTTTCACCTGAAGGTTGCATGGAATCCTGTCTGTGTTTCCTGTCTGCTTTCAGGAAAGCCCAGTCAGGATAACCACACTGCTCCAGGGCCTGTCGTGTGTGATTTCTCTTTCTGCCTGGCTCCTGGGTTTGTAGGGACACTGTCTGCTCTGTGGTACAGAGTCCTGATCACTCCTAACTTGTGTTCCAGTGGGTGGTGGGAGTCAAAACGCAAATATTGTGTGGGTGGGCTTACGATACACGCCACTTTCCAACCGTCCTCCATCCGAAACCGAGACATCGCAATCCAGGAACGCCAACCTGCCATTTTTTATATCCTCTCGTGTGAACTTAATATATTCATCCACAGAGTTGATGTGATCAGTGAAATGTTGGACTTCCTGGGCTTCATTAAAAAAAAAAATGAGTTTCACGTTGCTCAGATGAACAATTGAGATATTTGCATGTGAAATAACAGGAAGTGATGTCAAAGAGGAATGTCTGCATGTGAATATTTCAAGAATAAATAAATGTTACCAATTATTTTAATATTTGAGACAAAATACAATAATCCTACTTACAATGTGTTCACATTTAGACTTCAGAAGWTTGATTTAATACATTTTAAGYCTAATTAAGGCCTTTTAAGACTTTTTACAGATCTGCAGGAATCATGATGTAACTGATGAAAACTGTACGAATGTTATGAGCGGCTCTATGAAACAAACGGCTCCTCAGGATCCGGATCCCTTCAAACAAACARTGATCCACGTGAAAACGCTCACCTCCTCCTCAGATTTGGCTTCACCGTTCTCAGCCGGGCTCTCCGGTGTTTTGTCTTCAGGCTTGGCCTTCTCCACCTCCTTGGCTTTCTTTCCCTTAGCAGGTCCTTTCTGCAAACACAAACATTTAACAGTCAGATTAAAATCAGTCAAACAAACGACGGGGGCTGAAAACAGTCCAAATGAAGACCCTACCTTTGGTTTGGCTTTGGCCTCTACCTTCGCAGGCTCAGGCTTCTGTGTGGATGAAAAACAAAACAGCAGCTTTCAACAGTGAACGGTTTTATTACAACCAGATCGGTGTTTTTGTTCTTACGTCRTTCAGCCTGAGGGATCTCCTCTTGGGCTGTGGAGTGAACAAACAGTGTGTTACTGACACATGCTGGGCGTAAACAACAYCTGCACTACATGTAAACACAAATACCCTGAATAAAAGTTGTGATGGGTACTTACTGCTGAGTCAGCACCTCCTGCAGCTGCTGCCTACAGGAAAGATAAAAGTAATATTTAAGTCACTGAAAACATCGATCCAAGACAGGAAGCCAAGCTGCAGGTCTGATTAAATCAGCTGTGTGTACACTTTACACACTTTACACACTTTACATTAAATAACAGCTTTTTACCAACCACACATTTATTACAGCAGCTCTTTGAGGACATATTAGATGTATTCAAACAGTGATATTTTATCATTTAAAACGACTGTAGATATGATAATACACTTTCAGTTTGGAATTTCATGGMTTTTTTTCCAACATCGTAAATTATTACTGAAGTCATTTATTCAGTCCTGAACAGAATTTTAAGACCAGTTGAAAAATGGCAACAATTCCCAGTTTGCACTGTTGATCTGAAGGAGGTCCTTTGAAATGCAAAAACAAGGAATGGGAGTGAGACAAACAATAAAGTATTTTATTGCAAACAAGTATTAAAGTGAAACAGGCTGTTTAACAGCTAATCAAAATAAGACCACATCTAAAGAAAAAATAATTAATAGAAATAACATTTGAAATACAAACATAATTTTTATTACCACAGTTTGATATTTTTAAATACATGTCCTTCTTAACTTGTAATTTATTGTAATTAATTGTGATTATAACAAGTTTCTCAGTGGATCTGAGCTCAAAAATACAGCCTAGGTGGAGTAGTCGAACACAGATCCACTGATCCTTCAACACAGAGCGTCTTCAGAAGACAAACTGGTCAAATAAAAACCTGTATTAGATACATGTACTGTTACACCTCTAACTGACAATGAACCAAGGAGTTTATATAGAACAACTGGAGTGCGCAGAAACCATGTGACCATGTGATCGGCTGGAGAAGCTAACAGCTAACGCTAAACGGTCAAGACTGGATTTCCCATTACTGTACATGTTGACAACAGAGCAGAAAATAAGGACTGACCATGTAGAAATCATTAAAACTATTAATAATAATAATAATAATACGATTATTATCAATATTTGACAGTTGATATAATCTATCTAATGTTTTTTAAATAATGTCAGAAAAGCTGTTATCTTATAAAGTCCATGTAATCACTGTTACTTATTGAACTGTTAGCAGATATTAGCTTGTGGAGCATTTATACAGAGTTTAACAC